AAAAAAAAACTCCACCCTTTTAAATTAATTGGCAACTAAATATAAAAAGAGTGGAACTTAAATATCGACTTTATTTAAATGAAACCTTTCAAGACTATTTGACATTGCATAAACTAACTTGGTTAGCTACCCACCGAAACGTGGTCTAACAAACTAATCTTGGGAATTAAGCAAGATGATCTCTACTCATCGAAGCTAAATCCTAGAAAGACTTAGTTTTCAATAAATGTCCTGAAATAAGGTACTAACCTGAAATCTCAAAATGCAGGATTGTCACATGAATGGTCAAGGGTGACTCAGTATACAAAATCATTCAAAGGGTTTAGAACCATTAAGAGAGATGTTTTTTTGTCAAGCGAGATTCACCTTTTAATGATTTAGAGATTGTCTCTTAATGGAACTATTGAGAGGTAAACAAACAACCCCTAAAGAGTATGGATACGTAATGGTTGTTTTGTTACTTTATATATTTGAAAAGCGACGAAGGTTTTGTGAGAAAAAAATAGTTAAAGTTACTATCTATGAATTGCGTTTTAGAAGGGAGTTGATCTGGTGTATTTTGGTGTATCTCATTAGTGTTAATCTATAATTATGATCAGGGACGGACCCATAAAWTTTTTCATACGGTGGCACCATATAATTAATATAATATAATATATATCTAAAAATAATTACAAAAAATATGGTTTTTATTGTACCGATAAACAACTCCTAAACTTTTACCCGACTCGTCTTCATCTTTTGAAAACGGTCAATATATACCCAAAAATAATTACAAAAAGTATGTTGAGAAACAACTCCTAAATTTGTCATCGGCGTGTCTTCATCTTTTAGAAACGATCGATGACATCTTCGTTTTTGACATTACAAAGGGCTTCCTTTTCTATGGCGCAAATGAGAGCAGAATTCAAAAAATCATCACCAAGGAAGATTTGGGTTATAAGTTATAATTTTGGGTCTTTCGGATGGATCCCAAGGAAGATCATTAACATCAATCACATTGTTGGATGCATCATTACCGGTTGATGATGAAGCTTTTCGTTTCAAATATTTTTCCATAATGAATGAGTTATGTAAATCTAAGTAATGAAAACAATAATAAGTAATCACTAATCAGTAATGAGTAATGTAAGTAAGTAAATCTAATCAACATATGAAACCTAAACATAGTAAACAGTAAACANAAAAGAATGATCAATTTGTATAACCTAAACAATTAATCAACTAATCAAGTAAACAGTAAACAGAAAAGAATGATCAATTTGTATAACCTAAACAATTAATCAACTAATCAAGTAAACAGTAAACAGAAAAGAATGATCAATTTGTATAACGTAAACCTAAATCAAATAAGTGATTGAGATTTGAGTCTGAGYCAGTACCGATGGCGAGCGAGTTGAGTTCCAATTCCAAAATTGAATCGATTCTCTTTTCTCGTGGTCCCTGCTCCTTGGTCCGGTCGGTGGTTGGTGGTCCCCCGACTGGTTGTGGTTGTAGTTGTCGGCTTGTCGCACACAAATACACAATGTCGCTCACTCGCTCTCTCACGCCTCAAGCTCTCACTCGATCACTCGACAGTTGACACTCGCTCACGCTGTCTGTCACGCACGGTCACTGTAACAAGGTCACAGAGATTTGGGGCTTTACCGCTTTAGTTAATGCCTTAATGGACCATTAGATTTAGGGCTTTAGTTAATGGACCATTAGATTTGGGGCTTTAGTTAATGGACCATTAGATTTAGGGTTTTAGTTAATGGACCATTAAAATTTATTTGGGCTTATTTTTGCATTATATTTGGGCTTTAGTTGCACTTTTAGAATTTTAGGAAAAATACGGTAGCACCTTCCGAAACGATACGGTAGCACCGTTAACAAACCTAAAAATTTTATCCTTCGGAGGCGAAATAATACGGTGGCACGTGYCACCCATGACGACACACTAGGTCCGCCCCTGATTATGATTGATGCAATGGTGATGATCGTTTCTTATCCTTCTCAAGGAACCCAACCTTTTAAAATAATAGATAAATAAATTGATAATTATTTACTAGGAGGTCTCAGGTTCAAATTCAATGAGAAATAAAAATCTCATTGTGGTCACGGAGGTTCAAATACGGTAACTCCTGGCTATCTACAAAGCAGGTGGTCGTCCTAAGATTAGTCAACTTGCAAAACGGGTTGGATATTCATGTTAATAAAAAAAAAGATAATTATCCTTATCTACATCATACCTATTAAAATAGTTGATAACGGAACATATAATTGATAAATGATAAAATAAATCATTTTAAACTACAAGTAATATTGTTAACTCTCGAAAATCAGAAATTTGGGCACTATTTCGAATATGGTGTGCTCTTGATAGCAACATGGGAAACATGGTTTGCGGTATTGTAAATCATCCAGATGCTCGTTTTCCCTTTGGCTTGTTTTTCACGATAAGTTACTTTTGAAAGAGGTTATATTCGTGGAAATAAGAATTCGAGTGTTCGATTGAATTTCGAGACGATCGCATGATGAGTCTTTGAATCGGGAAGAGTAGTTGGAGGGCCGCATCATGTTTCCCGTTGTTTGGGTTTGGTTTGCTTCCGTGGTTTTCGTTCTGTAATCTTTTCGTTAGTTTTCATTTTGTTCGGTTTCGTGTTACCTGTGGCCTCTGCACCTTGCAGGATTATTCTGTGTTTTCTTAACTTTTTTGCTTAATAATATTGTTTGTCTTTCAGAAAAACCATAAGTTTGTTAATATAGTAAGTATTTGACATCTAATTTATCATGAACCTTTTTACTCGATATATAGAAAAACTTAAACTACACATTAATATATGACATATATGATAACATTATAAAGAAAAAAATAGTAATACTTAATTTTTATTTTATTAACCTGGATATCCAACCTGCTATGTGAGCCGATTAATTCCAGGACAACCACCTGCTTTGCAAATAGCCCAGAGTCACCGCATTTGAACCTCCATGGCAACAAGAGGATTTGTATTCCTTATTGGATTTGAACCTGGGACTTCCTGATACTTTTGACCTTTGGAACTAAGCTCAAACCAATCAGGCATCACTCTTGTTTATCCATACCCTACCCACTAAAATGTCAGGTAAACGGGTGACAGATAAAAATTTATTTACCTATACCCTTGTCCAAAATGAGTTGAAACATAATAAGTAACGAGTTTACCCTTATGTCGGATTTTATTTTATTATTTATGGATCAAGAGAAATAGTTAAATAACACAAACAACAGTGACCTGATACAAGCTATATATTCCCTTGCATCCTAAGGTTTTGCAACATAAAGAAAAGTCTACAAAATACAAAAGTGAGGGAAAAGAGAAAAAGTCCGGCTACACTTTTTGGGCGAGTGCAGCTGTACCGTCTTGCTTGTTCCAAAAATTTGAACAGTCGGATTGTCGTGACTTTTGACAGTAGCTTCACGACATCTTTATCTACATTCTTAATGGCGGAGATCAGTTTTGAAGGTATGGAAGTCATCATTTTACTGTTCGATAGATTGCAGCTTTTAAGGGTGATATCTCTTCTTATTTTCCTTTTTGTTTGATTCCATACTTCTTGATGATTTGTTACAAGAGTATGATGATTGTCGTGTGTCTCTAGTTTTACATATAAAATACTTTTGTATTGTTTATTGGTGGTAGTAGACTTTAAGCGGCATAAAAGTCATGTGGGTTTACTCTCGATTCGAGAGGTTTTCACGTTAAAATCTATGCGTAGCATGTGTATTATTGTTTGTTGTTTATTTCTGATTTGGGGGGTTGATTATCGTTGCATTTAGTATACCCTGTTTTTTTTTTTTTGTGCATCCCTGTAGATTCATATAAATCAGAAAATTTTAGTCCCACGAAGATTTATTCCGCATTTGTTGTTACCATTATGATGTGTTTTTCCCATCACCTTACATACTGCCAACCTTATTTGGGTTCGATCAGTTTGTATGTATCTTGACTACTTTTATTGAGTTTTTGAAAACAATTAAAGAATTTCTCAAAGGGTTTTGGAGGAACTCATACTGACGACCTGTCAGGAAAATCCTCAAATTAAATTTTTTATTTTGATATTTATCAGATGTCTCGTTTAAAACATTTACATATTAGTTTATATATGAGAATGCATTAACTAATTTAATTTATATATTATGTAGTATAATTCAATTTAATTATTTGAGATATTATATTTAAGCAACATTAAAATAAAAATGGGAATAAATCATTCGACATAATCTTTTTTAATTTATTATTTGTATAATTATTTATTAGTATTTATATTGCTTATTGTCCCTTCGGTTCATTATAAAGCAACCTTAAAAACGTGATTTATGTGCTACTGAGTTTAAATAACGAACGGGAACTAAAAAAAATTGCACATTTTTTTCTAGGATAGGTATTGTTTACTAAATATTTATCAGGTAAACATTTGCTAAGGTGCTGTTTACCAAACGCTTACCCATGTAAGTGCTTATCAAGTCACTTTACTTTACCGGATGAATATGACAATGACTAAAATACTAAAACAACTAAGCGTTTACTGTAATAAATTGTTGCATACAATGCGTTTTAGTGAATAAAATTTTACCCTGTAAGTAAGCGATAGTGTTGAATTTTACCGGTAAGTGTTTAGGTAAACGCCCCTTACATTTATCTTATCAGGTGAGCATTAGGGATGGCAAAAAATGACCCAACCCGCTTACCCAACCCCAACCGAATCCAGAATTAGCAAGTTGGGTTGAGATTTTCAACCCATTTAAATAAATGTGTCAACCCGCCTAACCCATTAAATAAATATATTGGGTTGGTTTAATTTTTCGACCTATTTTCAACTCATTTAAAATATTATATAATTTTATTTTATTCTTAATATTATATCTAGTATTCTRATTTTTCATTTKKTTTWWTYYTWAWTWAAAAWYCYWMC